AGGCTGAATCCTGACTGACAGAGGAGGAGCTGGAGATGGAGGAGGGTACTTAGCTATTAAGCAATGCGAAAACTGCTGATAATACTGAGGGACCTTATATATGAATGCTTAGATAGGTGTCATATTCCTATAGGTAGATGGGGATCATTAAAATAATGATTTTCTATTTTAATATATTTTAAAATGTAATTTATTTCTGAGAAGGCAAGGCTGAATTTTTAGCAGCCATTACTCCAGTCTTTAGTGTCACATGATGCTTCAGAAATTATTATTATATGCTGATTTGGTACTCAAGAATCATTTTATTAATATTAATTATTATTCTTTTTATTATTAATAATATTGAAAACGTTTGTGCTCCTTAATATTTTTGTGGGGCAAGAACAAAAAAAAAAGTATTTTAATATATATTTTCTGAAAATAAGTCTTAATATTTTGCTACTCAAGTAAATTTCTGCTGGTGTAAGGATGGAGAACAAGACAAAAATACTGATTAGGGAAGTTAAAAGGATCCATGTTAGGATCTAAATATGTTCAGTTTAGTTGATTGCTTTTTTAAAAATACTTAAAAACCCAGCCTGAAGTGCATTGCATATTGCACACGTTTTTTTGCTGTCGTCATCACCAGAAGTCACTGTGTGTTTTAGGTTGCGTGCACAGCATGAGCAGCTCCAGTGAGTGCGTTGGTAGGTGCTTTGCACCCTCCTTTGAGTCTTCTTATGCAAATACACACACACACGTGTACACCCCACACATATAGAATCTTTAGCTGTGGGGATTTCGGTACAAGGCAACTACTCTAATCTGTGAAGATAACTTTGTGGTTCTCTCTGGAAAGCGAAACTCAAATTTAAAGCCTGATTCTTCATGAGATAACTCCAAGTACTTTGACGTTTCAGTCAAAGAAGAACACACAAAGAAGGTTATTGAGTTCAGGAAATGTAGCCTCACACAGAATATGTACGAATACTTCAGTCAATCAATTCTCTCCAAGAGAAAAGGAGTGCAGGAAAGAAGATATTCAAATTTGTTTAAGTCTATGCCATAATGACACCATTATGCACTTATATTGACTGCTATTCCAGTATCTGTGTACTATGTACAATGAAACTACCATTAAAATTAATGAGAATGTGTTTTCCAGGTATTTGAGACCTTTTTGGTGCAGAGAAATCCATAATGTGCCCAATTAGGTTTGGTTTATTCAGCTTGGACACCAACCCAAAGACAGCTCTTTGGACATTTTGCTCATTTTACAAGCGAAAGCGCAAAAACGAGGCTCAAGTATGTTAATGGGTATTTAACACATAATGTTTGACATTTCCAGTCTTTCTCAGCACTTAACTTTTCACTAAATGTTATGAAATTTGTTCTCATTACACTGATGTAATCTCACAATCCATACTGAAATGTACTATAAGACCACCTCCCCAAGCCCACCAATTACAACGCAATCAAGACACTGACGAACAACGTGGCCTTTCTAGGTGATCACGGAATGCTTGATTACTTCTGTGAGCGAAAGTACCTTTATTCCTTAGTTAATTTGCCTTTCACATTTTGTCTTGTAACATGCAATGTGGTTACAGACAATCATACTGGTTTACGTGCAATTGCACTCCGAGAAGTCTGAGAGGGTTGCAATTCATAGAATGAGACAAAAGTGCAGTAATTGGACATGTATGTAAAACCCAGACAGAGATTAAAGATCACATAGCTTAGAACAGGCAGACAATAAGGCCTGTGTTTTGTAGCCGTATGTATGTGTGGTGTCAAGCTGTTTGTTCTACTTTCTCTCTCTCTGAACGAGTCACGACACCTGAGCTCATTTCTTCCTTCTGTTTGGATCTTTCTGGCATGGACGGACAGCATGCCCCGGGTCTGGCCACTCATGACGGCTGTGTGGTACCTGCTGGTGTTTCAGTGTCCCTTCATTAGTTTCTCCACACAGACAGACCCACCTCACAAACCTCCCTAATGAAAACAGCAGAGGCTGAAGCCTCATCCAGACGCGGACTAACCACATGCCCTGGGCTCTGCTCAGACGGTCGTCTCATGACAAGAGCCTTTTTCTGTGTGCTGTGAGGGAGGAGGGAGACAATAGTGCACTTAACCATTACTGAAAAAGAAAAAAAAAGATTCACATGGTGAGGACCATGACAGGAGTAGATATGGTCAGGCTGTGCTGTGACAGCGCCTGCAGGTAGGCAGGAATGATTGAAGGAAGGAAGGAAAATTAAAAGAAAGTGAGAACGGGATGGCAGAAAGAAAGAAACAGCAATGGCAGAAAAAAGAAAGAAAGAAAGAAAGAAAGAAAGAAAGGGGAGGGAGTGATAAGAAAGAAAGAAAGAAAGGGGAGGGAGTGATTGCAGAAAGACAATGAAAAGAAGGACAGAGAAAAAGAAAGTGAGAGAGGAAGGAATTGATGGCAGAAAGAAAGAAAGAAAGAAAGAAAGAAAGAAAGAAAGAAAGAAAGAAAGAAAGAAAGGGGAGGGAGGGAATGATTGCAAAAAGACAGAATGAAAAGATGGACAGACAAAAAGAAAGTGAGAGAAGAAGGAATTGATGGCAGAAAGAAGGGAAAAAAGGAACAAGAAGCAACAAAAGGAAGCAAGAAAAGGCAGGTTCCATGTGGGAAGGTAGGCTTGATAGAGTGATGGCAGAAAGACAGACGGAAGGGGAAAAGGAAGGAAGGAAGGAAGAAAACAAACAAGCAAGAAAGCAAGGAAAGATGAAATAGAAACAAAGGTAGAGAGAGCAGGAGAAAAAAACAGGAGAGATCGTTGGTGCTGCTTAGCTGGAATAGAGTGAAGATGGACAGGAAGAGGAAGGAGAATGACGGCGGTAAACGGAGTGACAGAGAAAGAGAGAGCGATAGAGGAAGAGAGAAAATGGCAGAGAAACGCATATGCTGCTGGTGGGGAGTTAAAAGGTTTGGCAGGGGAGAGGTGGGGAAAGATTAGCTCGACTGACAACTCCATTAGAGACTTAACCCCGGCTTTGATCATCGCCTGAGCCCCTCTTCAGCCAGCCTGATGCAGGATCCCAAACATAGCAAAGCTGACAGCCTCCTGAACGCAGGTCTGCCTGTGATCAAAGCCATGTCTCTTAGAACTCAAGCTGCCTCACTCTATTGCTGTTGTCCTGTGGGACCGGCAGCAGACAAACGCTCAGACTAAGAGAGAGATCTCACAATGTGTGATTTACTGAGGTCATGCTGTGTGAAACAAGACGCTATTTGCTTTTGCATGTTTTGATTGTGAGAGGTTCTGTGCGAGGAAGATGTTGTTTTCCTTTAAGGTGTTCTCTTACATTTGTCACACCCCTTTCTCCTGCACGGCTCTGATAAAAACATAAATTCTACTACAAAAACACATGCAACAAAAGGCACATGCTGTTAGACTGACATTTCAGCTGCTCACTTTCATACCAACATGTTCCTGTAAAACATATTGTATTCATGCAAATTAATTCATATGAACTGAATATGTCGCTTAAATTCACACTTATGACACGGCCCGTCATGCATGCCATTATCTGTATTACACAACAACCGCAGGAAGGCATAGTGTGCAACAGTTTTTCTTGCTCTTACATTGGTTAGGTTAGGTTTTCTTGGATATTTCTTAAATACAATTAAAATAAAACAATAAACAATCTTTCATTTCTATGTACTGTATATTTACATATGTTATCTGTGCATAGTTGATGTTGTGTGTGTGTGTGTGTGTGTGTGTGTGTGTGTGTGTTGTGTGTGTGT